GAGTACTAGACGTGTTAGGCTTGTTATAATATTTGCTTGGCAGTTGCGACGCTTCCATTAACAGTTCTCTTTCGATTTTGGTACAGCAACTTTACAAGGTGTGCCTGATATCAAAAATCTTCAAAAACGCTGGATTCATGCTAAAGAAATATTTCGGAACCCAGCTACAAGATGATTTCTTAAATATTTATTTTTAAAAAGAACTAATTTTCAGGTATTTCCATATTGGTTATCACTTGTTGATTATTTGAAGCTGAAAGCATTTGTAGAATTAACAATTTCAAATTCAGTACGTGATGGTATACAACAGGTAATTTTTTTCCTTTTTTTTGCAAAATCATTATTTTATGGCTTTTTATTATTATATTATCATCGTCTTACAAATTATGTATATTATAATATTATATTATTATCGTTATATGGCTTTTTACAAAAACTTTCGTTTTATGGATCTTCTTGAACATTTGGGACATAATCTTGATTTCCCTTGGAAAGCACACTGTATCGATCAACTGCTAAATCATAATCTGGATTTCAAATCGTGCAGCTGACAACTTTTCCCGTTTCTTTGACCAGCGCTGTATCACCTTATAGACAGTTTCCTGGCGATTCTGACCTTCATTTCGTTGTTTGAATGACCAGTCCACTCCCGATGGAAGTACTGGATAAGACTTTAACAGTTTTGGGAAGCCCTTAGCATGTGCTAGGCATCAGCTGCCTTTTTTCGAACGCTGCTCCTTTTTGAAGATTACTATGAGCTATAGAGTTACTTTTCCAACTGAGCTCCTCGTTAATAAAGATAATGATGCGTTTTTGTCTCATTCTATATTATCTTTATTATCATCATTATAATTATCATTATTTATTACTATTATTATTCCTTGTTTATTTCTAACTTCAAGGTTTTTGTTATGACCATCTGCATGCTACGCTGTATTTGGTCAGTTAAAAATATTTCCGCACCGCAACTTTTTCTTTCAAATATTTGATAGTTTCGTTGTTTTTTTTACTCTATTTATTATTTTCATGAATATTTCAGCTAATACGTCTGTCCGGACTGGGAGCAATGAAACCAAACACCGTCGTTTTGGGATTTCATGAGAAAATGCCACAGCCAGCAACGCTTGCCGAATCGTGTCTTTTGAAAGATCTGAAATTTTCACGCATTGATCGAGCAGAAGTTGTGGAATATTTCACCGCTTCGGATTATGTACCACGTGTTGGTTTTTTTTTACGCTAGAGAAAATTCTGAAGTCTGGAATAACTGTTGGTTTATAGTTTGGATCTCCGTATATTCAGCCAGTATTTTGCCCAGGTTTTTTTTACCAATATTGCATTACTGCGTGAGCAGCCTGTTGGCGATCCTGACGTTCGTTTTATCGTAATTTTGGGATTTTAAACCAGGAATAACTGAAAATTATATGTCTTTCAATTCGTTTCGTATGGAAGACTGAATACGTACAGTTCCATCTTGTTAAATCTATGTATTTTGGGTTTCCTCATGGTTTTCCTATGAATTTGAGTTTCCTCTTGAAAAAATTTCCCTTCCAGGATGAAATTCACGAAAACATCAGATTACAGGTAACATGCCCTAACTTGTTTGCATGGTGGAGAGTTTCATTTACACATTCCAGAGAGGCTAGTTACTTGTACAGGATGCTGCTCGTTACTTGCATAGGTCACTCTGTCCTTCCGCGCTATAGCACTTTCGCTCCGCCCCCCAGCTCGCGTTAGACCCAGCTTGGCCCCGCCCCGTCGGCTGTATTCCATCCTCACCCTCCCGTCGGCTGTATTTCTTCTCTCTCGCAGCACTTGTACTCCTTTCTTCCCTCCTCCCTCTTTCCAAATTAACCCGCAGAAATCACTCCTCTCGCACTTCCCTTTCCGAGCAGTAGCATAGTACTTGATCAACGACAAAGCCTCCTAT